CCAGGTGTGTGCCCAGGTGTGCCCAGGTGTGCCCAGGTGTGTGCTGGTGCCCACCTGGGCGCTGCTGTTGCGGGACAGCGCTGTGTGTGACACGTGTGCCAGCCCATACAGGTGTGCCCAGGTGTGTGCCGGTGCCCACCTGGGCGCTGCTGTTGCGGGACAGCGCTGTGTGTGACACGTGTGCCAGCCCATACAGGTGTGCCCAGGTGTGTGCCGGTGCCCACCTGGGCGCTGCTGTTGCGGGACAGCGCTGTGTGTGACACGTGTGCCAGCCCATACAGGTGTGCCCAGGTGTGTGCCGGTGCCCACCTGGGCGCTGCTGTTGCGGGACAGCGCTTTGTAGATCTCGTCGATGTTGGTGGCCACGGCCTCGAAGCAGGAGTTGAAGCGGTCGAACCGCTCCTTCTTCATCTGCTCAAACGCCTGCTTGGCCTTCTTGGCGCGCTTGCGGGCCGCCTCGAACTCTGGGGACAGCGGGGACACCAGGGGACATTGGGGACATTGGGGACAGCGGGGACACCAGGGGACATTGGGGACATTGGGGACACCAGGGGACATCAGGGACAGCGGGGACACCAGGGGACATCAGGGGACAGCACAGACATCCAGGGACACCAGGGGACATTGGGGTCAGGACACGCCTGCTTGGCGCGCTTGCGGGCCGCCTCGAACTCTGGGGACAATGGGGACATCAGGGGACAGCTGGGACAGCTGGGGACATCGGGGACACCAGGGGACATCACAGACACCCAGGGAAATCCAGGGACAGCCAGGGGACAGCCATGGGGACAGCCAGGGGACATTGGGGTCAGGACACGCCTGCTTGGCACACTTGCAGGCAGCCTCGAACTCTGGGGACACTGGGGACAGCTGGGGACATCAGGGGACAGCAGGGGACATCAGGGGACAGCAGGGACAGCTGGGGACAGCCGGGGACAGCACAGACAGGCCTGCTTGGCCTACTTAGCGTGATTGCAGGCGGCCTTGAACTCTAAGGGGACATTGGGGACATCAGGGGACATCACAGACAGCCAGGGACAGCCAGGGGACAGCCCCAGGGACATTGGGGTCAGGAGCGTTTATGGGCAGCCTCAAACTCTGAGGGACACTGGGGACAGCAGGGACAGCTGGGGACATGAGGGGACATCACAGACACCCAGGGGACACTCCATGTCCCCTCCACATCCCCCCATGTCCCCATGGTGTCCCCCCATCCGAGGTCTCCTGGAACTTGTCCCCACGATGTCCCCATGTTCCCACCCTCTGAGGTCTCCTGGAACTCATCCCCAGGTCCCCCCATGGTGTCCCCCCTTGTCCCCACGATGTCCCCATGTCCCCATCATCTGAGGTCTCCTGGAATTTGTCCCCATCATGTCCCCACGATGTCCCCCAGTCCAAGGTCTCCAGGAACTTGTCCCCATGTCCCACCATGGTGTCCCACCATGTCCCACCATCTGAGGTCTCCTGGAACTTGTCCCCCCATGTCCCCCCCATGTCCCCACCGTCCGAGGTCTCCTGGAACTTGTCGCGGACACTGTCCCATGTCCCCCCCCATGTCCCCTCTGTGTCCCCCCGTGTCCCCACCGTCCGAGGTCTCCTGGAACTTGTCGCGGACGCTCTCCAGTTTCTCCATGGCTTTCATGTTGGGCGCGGCGATGCGCTGCAGGACGCTCTGCTGCTCCGTCAGCCGCTGCTGCAGCGCCGCCATCTCCTGCCGGATCTCCTCCTCCGCCTGCGCGTCCTGGGGACACGGGGACACGGGGACATCAGGGACAGCAGGGACAGCAGGGGACACGGGGACATCAGGGACAGCAGGGACAGCAGGGACATCAGGGACAGCAGGGGACAGCATTGACAGCAGGGACAGCAGGGGACACGGGGACATCAGGGACAGCAGGGACAGCAGGGGACATTGGGGATACACGGGCGCACTCCCTGTACCCCTGTGCAGTCGCGCTGCTGCAGCGCCACCATCTCCTGCCGATCTCCTCCTCGGTCTGGGCGTCCTGGGGACACGGGGACATCAGGAGACGCAGGACATGCAGACAGCAGGGGACATCAGGAGACGCAGGACATGCCCAGGTGTGCCCAGGTGTGTTGGGTGTACCCAGGTGTGCCCGGTTGTGCCCAGGTGTGCTGGAGCATGCCCAGCTGTACCTGGGCATGTCCAGGTGTATCCAGGTGTGCCCAGCTGTGCCAGCTGTACCCAGCCATGCCCAGGACATGCCCAGCTGTACCCAGGTGTGTCAGGCATGCCCAGCTGTGCCAGATGTGCCCAGGACATGCCCAGCTGTATCCAGGTGCACCCAGCTGTGCCAGGTGTGCATGGTGTGGGGACAGGGACATGGGGATGTGGCAGGGGACAGGGACACGGGGACAGGAGATGGGGACAGTGTGGGGACAGGGCATGGGGACAGGGACACGGGGATATGGGGACACGGTGGGGACAGAGCATGGGGACATGGCAGGGGACAGGGACACGGGGACAGAGACCCAGGGATATGGGGACATGGTGGGGACAGGGAGTGGGGACAGGGCATGGCGACACACCCACGAAGACACGCCCACCATGGACACACCCACAGTGCCCTTACGCCACTTTCCAGCCCCACCCACCTTAGCCCCGCCCCCAACCACACCCTCATTTTAGCCCCGCCCCTTTGAAACCTCCCTTATTGGCCACACCCCCTTGAGCTCCCTCACTTATTGGCCCCGCCCTCAGTTTCTGACCACGCCCCTCAATGGCCACACCCCTTTGGCCATTCCCCCTCATTGAGTCTATTATCACTGGTTGGCCCCGCCCCTTGGCCCCGCCCTCACTTGTTGGCCCCGCCCAGCTTCTTGCGGATCTCGTCCATCTCGTGGTTCTTGTCGTTCACCTCCGACTTCTTGGCCAGGTGCTGGTTCTTGAGGTCCTGCAGCTGCGCCATGGTCTCGTCGATGATCTTCATGTGCCGCTGCTCCTCCTGGGGACAGCACCAGAAATGGGCAAAAATGGACAAAAATGGGCAAAAATACATCAAAATTGTCCATGGGCTTCTTGTGCCGCTGCTCCTCCTGGGGAGAAACACCCAAAATGAGCAAAAAGGGACAAAATTGGGCAAAAATGGACAAAAGAACCCAA